TCTATACGTTCTATAATAAGGGTATTACCTTATATAATAAAAACTATTATTAGTTATGATTTCTATGCTTTACCACTGCTTTTATTATTCAAACCTAAAAAGTATTCACTTTCATTTTTATATTAAAAAGCTACATTTTTATCATTTAACATCTCAAATAATTAACATTTCTTTAAACTTTCCAAAACCTGAGTGAAATGTAATAATCACAGTCAGGTCTCTGTTTTTCCAATAATGAACGGCAATGTGAACAAGCCCATGCAGATAATACGAAAGCTCTTTTGGGTTTGGAAATGTGATGCGATTTTCATGCAGAAAATATATCTTTCCAATGCTGAATGTCAAATGAGCCTGTCTTCCTGGGGTACCTTCCCTCCAGCAGGCAGAGGGAAGAGACTGTCAGGTCTCCAAGTGACAGCAGAATGCTGGGAATAATTTGCAAAGTAGAGAACCTTCTACTATGATCATTGATCATAAATCATGCTATAAATTGAAAGGAATGAAAAATAAGCAAATATCTTTCGAGAAAATGGTCTTCGACCGACTGGCACGAAGACAGATACAACCACCCAGTTACATAATATCTCAGCAGCTAGCAGCAAACTGCCTTCAGCAGTTGTCTGACTGATGTAAGTAGGCTAAACAGTGTTATTTTTAATGGTGCATATTTGGCATCTGTTTGGAAGCCTTGTGTAGAGCATTACAAAGAATTCATTGTGAAGACTAGGCTCTTGGTTTTATATTAATCATTAAGTCCATGAATTTGTAACAGATATTTAGTATTCATCTCTTAAACTATATACTTTAAGATGCTCTGGGTTCATTTTGAAATGTTTAAAATAAGCATGGGCTAGTTTTCTCTTGCTCTTCATAAAAAACTCCATCTAAGAGTTGTAAACCCGTCAATTCTTGGCCCTTGGCTTTGATTTCTCTGCTACCGTTTGTTGCTATACGTGCTCTCTGTTTTTGTAGCTTGGATGGTCTCCTTGCATTGTGCTGGGTTTTCCCTTGTGTTCCCCTTCAGGGCTGGTGAAGGACATCCTGGAGAAAATTCTGACTCAACGAGCCTCTCCTACTCTGTGGGGTTACAGAAGATATGTGACTGGCTCCCCACACAGACTTCAAGGACAGATAGAATGTGAAACTTTGAGGTGCTACTTGGCAGTACCCAGCCTCAACTTGAAGTGAGATCATAGGCCAGAGAACATAGAAACGGTCACACAGCTTCAGGCTGTGACCAGAGACCTATTCCTAACATGGCTCTTTCTGTCTTCCATAGTCCCAGGCTCTATCTCAGATCCAGAATCAAGGGTAAAAGAATAGGTATCACTGAACTTGATCAATTCTTTCCCCTCATATTCATTTTCTAGCTCTTTCAGAAAAAGCGATTCTCTTCCAGAGTTCTCTCCATGAATGTAGAGTCCTAGAAATAAGTCTCCCAGTTGGGAGTGTCTGTGCTGACCCTGTGGGATCAATTGGTTGGGTGATAAACATCAACCTGTGTCCTGATTTCTAGGGTCCTAGATGGAGGAGACCCAGGCATTCATTAACAGGCCTGATTCCTCCTTGTATCCAGCCTCGGGCTACCCAACAGTCTGGAGCTAAGGTAAGTGGTTTCCCTGGAGAACTGAGAGTAGCAGTACTTAAAATCTCAGCTAGGCAGAAGACAACTGCTCCCGAAGGCACTACATGTGCAAATGTTCAGCTTCGCTTGGAAAAACTTTTATAAACTTACATAAATGTCCATGTGGACCTAAGTTTCTTCTAAGTTAAAGGTTGACATCGAAAGTTTTTTTTTCTTTCCATTTTATTTTTAAATTGTCTGGTGTTTTATTTGTTCCTGACATTTATTTTTTTTTGTAAGATTTATTTATTTATTTGACAGAGAGAGACACAGCGAGAGAGAGAACACAGCAGAGGGAGAGGGAGAAGCAGGCTTCCCGCTGAGCAGCACCCTGAGATCATGACCCGAGCCGAAGGCAGACACTTAACAACTGAGCCACCCAGGAGCCCCTCCTCCTGACATTTAATTATGAGTTGTTAGAGTTCCCCTAAAGAAAATCTGTTTAGATTTCAAGTACTAGCATGATAATGCCACTTACTTCATTAAGTCTTGGTCACTTGAACCTCACAGCAAAACCGGTGGAGAACCACCAGTTTTACCACAATGACAAACAGTCTCTGCTGAGGTGACAAGCAATGCCTTTTTATATTTGAAGAGTCATCGATCATGCAGGTCCTAGGAACACTGAAAAGGGAAAAAGTCATGGTTACCTTTGAAGGAATGAAGTAATGGTCGAAAAGATGGCTCAGGGAAGAAATATATTTTAAGATGTGGGGTTACTGCAGAGTTTTGCTGAACGCCAGGAGCTTTGGAACTGGCAAACCATTTTTACTTCTGTGTAAGACATGCTCTGGGAACAAAACAGACATTTTGTTGGGACGCTGTAGGACAGTTTGATTAACTTTCTTTCCTAGGACAAAAGGCTACCATTTAACGCAAAATCCTCAGGAGCCTACTGCAAATTGAGCGACTCAGGCAGTGATGTTTATCCATTTGAATTCCATTTGAGTTTATTGATTCCTTCATCTGGGAAATAAACAATCAAAAAGAAACAGGGGCCAGTTGTGGAGGCAGTAACCCCGGTCTTCCTGGTCTTTGCTGTAAATCGTAGGAAGGGATATGTTCTAAATTGCTCCCATTCGTAAATGCTTCTAGGCTGTTTCTTATGTGAAAAATTACTTATCTTCTAGCTCCTTTTTCTGTCTTTCATTAAGCTACAACAGCCTAGTGGCTAGCAATAAAGAAAACTGTACTAAACAATTGGAAATAATTTTCCCAGGAGACTAGCTAAATGAAAATTTGTTGGGTTTTGTAATCAGCATGAGCGGAGAATGGTATTCTTACTATCGGCAAGGTGGCCCTTTGGACCATGCAGGCCGGGAACGCCAGTACTTGCTGGGAACCCCTAGATGCAGGGAAGACAGCTGTGATTAATGATTCAAAGCACCCCAGGTATATGCAACAAGAAGTTCAGTTGCACTTCCATTTACAAAACAAGATATATCTGGCAATAAATAATGCCTTCAACCTTGTTTTTTTCCCCAGACTAATCCGATTCATTAATCAAACTAAGCCATTATTCTAAACCCCAAGGCTTAATATACTACAAAATGTTCACACAGTGAGGGAGGATTGATTTGTGGTTGGGGTAGGGGAAAAGAAGGATAGTCTTTTGTTTCCCTTCTCTCTCCAAAGTTTGCTGTTTAAAACGCATATAAAATGTATAATTTAAAACCCTCTCGGGGCGCCTGGGTGGCTCAGTTGGATAAGCGACTGCCTTCAGCTCAGGTCATGATCCTGGAGTCCCGGGATCAAGTCCCACATCGGGCTCCCTGCTTAGCGGGGAGTCTGCTTCTTCCTCTGGCCCTCCCCGCTCTTGTGCTCTTTCTCTCAAATAAATAAATAAAATCTTAAAAAATAAAAAAATAAAACCCTCAGTTTCTTGAGCTAAGAATACCCAATTGTTATTCAAATAGACACTGATATGCAAAGGCCACAGCTCTGGTCTGAATGTTTGTGTCCCCTCTCCCCCAAATTCATACATAAAAATCCTAACCCCTAAGGTGATGGTGTTAGTAGGGGAGACCTTTGGGTGATTAGGTCCTCATCAGGTCAAGAGAGCTCTGCTCTCAAGGATGGGATTGGTGCCCTTATAAAAAGGGCTCCAGAGAGATTCCTCGATTCCTTCTACCGTGTGAGGAAACAAGAAGTCTGCATCCCAAAGGCTCTCAACCATGCTGTCACCTTGATCTGGGACTTCCCGTCTCCAGAATTCTGAGAAATAAATTTTTATTTATAAGCCACCCAGTCAACAGTATTTTGTTATAATAGCCTGAACACATTAAGACAGCTATACTCAGAGAAACTGTAGAGAAAGCCAGTGTTTCCATTTATAAGCATGTGAAGACAGATGAGGGGGAGGGGAAGCCCACCTGAGAATAGAACAGCCTAACATAGGACACCTGGGAAATCTCACTCCAGCTGAAGTGAAAAGGACTCTTTGAAATCTTCATATTTTCTTGGCTGACTCAAATGTTGTACAGTGTTGCCGTCATGTTACATATTTTTACTCTCTTCACAATTTTAATTTCATCCCTTTACCCTAGGAACTGTTCCTTGTGGTATAAGAAATTTGTAATAGCCAAATTGTTTTAAGAATCATTAAATTTGGCAAATGTATAAACAATCTTAAGTATTTTTGTAACTCAGTCATTCCACTTCTAGTAATCTGTACTAAGAAACTAAACAGACATAAGTTCAAATGAGTTTGTGTGTGTGTGGGCGTGTGCATCTCAAGATGTTTATCACAGCGTTCTATATACAAAAAATTAAAATACAATGATAAAGTTTTTAATTTCTCAAATCAGTTTTTAAAGATCTTAAAAACTACAAACTAGAATATTAAACCCTCACAAAAATTGTTTTAGAAGTTATTTAGAAAAAGTTTGGGAGGTGCCTGGGTGGCTCAGTCGTTAAGCGTCTGCCTTTGGCTCAGGTCATGGGCCCAGGGTCCTGGGATCGAGCCCCCGCATCGGGCTCCCCGCTCGGCGGGAAGCCTGCTTCTTCCTCTCCCACTCCCCCTGCTTGTGTTCCCTCTCTGGCTGTCTCTATCTGTCAAATAAATAAATAAAATCTTAAAAGAAAAAAAGAAAAATTTTGGCTCCTTTAACTGTAAAAATCCATAATGTAAAACTATGTTACAAAATTAACTATATGTGAATCTTAATATATTTATAATATATTTGCAAATAGTATGTATTTTTTTAAAAATAAGAGGAATTATTTCAGAGTGTTAAACTCGATTATCTCTGGGTGGTGAAATTCTGAATTTAAAATTTGTTTTTCTTTTCACTATTTTCTAAGTTTTTTCTTTTATTTATTGATAATCAAGAAAAAAGGCATATAAAATAAGTTAAGCCAGTGGATACAACCATAGAATATGAATGCTTTTTACATAATTATCCTACACTTCATTGCAGTCTACTATTTACAATATTATATAAAGGTTTTTCAATTAGCAATAATCGTGCCTCGGATAAACCTCACTGGCTACGATACTGCCACTGTGCAAAGCTATACATAAAGGTTTTTCATTCTTTTTGTTTTACTAAGAGAGAAACTTAACTGTTTCCTGGCTTTCAGTTTTCCTAGTGTAGTTTCAAGTTTCTCACCTGGAATGGAGATTGAATGTAATATATCGCTATCCCTGAATTTAAATAAGACATCAAAAAAAAAAAAAAAAACCCAAAACAGGTCACTAGAGTTAAGAAACTAAGACACATTTAAAAATGATTACATCTCAGTAAGTTAGGAATAGAGTGGAACTTTTTTAACTTGATAAATAATAACCACAAAAAGCCTACAGCTAACATGATACTTAACGGCAACAATCTAGAAGCTTTCCTGCTAAGATCAAGAACAAGGAAAGGCAAGGGTGTGGATAGAGCTAGAGAGTATGATGCTAAATAAGTCAGTCAGAGAAAGATACCATATGATTTCATTCATATGTAGAATTTAAGAAACAAAACAAATGAGCAAAGGGGAAAAAAGAGAGAGAGAGGCAAACCAAGAAAGAGACTCGTAACTTTCGAGAGCAAACTGATGGTTACCGGAAGGGAGGGGAGTAAGGGGAGGGTTATATGGGTGCTGGGAATTAAGGTGAGCACTTATTGTGATGAGCACCAGGTGTTGTATGCAAGTGTTGCATCACTAAATTCTACACCTGAATCTAACATTACACTGTATGGTAACTCACTGGAATTTAAATAAAAACTTAAAAAAAAAGAACAAGACAAGGATGTCGCCTCTCACCAATCCTTTTCTTTTTTTCCCGAATTTTCATTTAAATTCTAGTTAGTTAACATATAGAGTAATACTGGTTTCAGGAGTAGAATTCAATGATTCATCACTTACATGTAACACCCAGTGCTCATCACAACAGTGCCCTCCTGAGTACCCAGCACCCGCTTGGCCCATCCTCCACCCACGTCCGTCCATCAAACCTCAGTTTGTTCTGGTTTGCTTCCCTCACTCTTTTTTTTCTTTCCCATATGTTCATTGTTTTGTTTCCTAAATTCCACATATAATTGAAATCATATGGTATTTGTCTTTCTCTGGCTTATTTTGCTTAGCATACGACATACTAGCTCCGTCCAAGTCATTGCAAATGGCAAGACTTCAATCTTTGATGGCTGAGTGATATTCCACTGGATATATATCACATCTTCCCACATCAGTCAATGAACATTTGGGCTCTTTCCATATTTTGGCTACTGTTGATAATGCTGTTGTTCCCATATTTTGGCTACTGTTGATAATAAACACTGGGGTGCATGTATCCCTTCAAATTTGTATTTTTCTATCCTTTTCAACATTATACTGGAAGTCCTTGATAATGCAAGAAAACAAGGAAAAGAAATAAAAGATACACAGTTTGGAAAAAATAAATGAAACTGTCTTTTTAATAAAAAGATTGTCTATGTAAAAAATCCAAAAGAATCAACAAAAAAAACCCTCCTGGAGCTAATAGAAGATTACAGCAAGTTTGCAGGATACAAGGTTAATATACAAAAGTAAATCACTTTCCTATATACCAGTGATGAACAAATGGAATTTGAAATAAAAAACACAATGCCATTTACATTAGCACCCCCCAAAATGAAATATTTAAGTATAAATCTAACAAAATATATACAAGATCTATATGAGGAAAACTATAAAATTCTGATGAAAGAAATTAAAGAATAGAGAGATAGTCCCTGTTCATGAATAGGAAGATTCAAATTTGTCAAGATGTCAGTTCTTCCCAATTGGATCTGTAGATTCGATACCATCCCCACTGAAACCCCAACAAATTATTTTGTGGATATTGACAAGCTGATTTTAAGGTTTATATGGAGAGACATAAGACCCAGAATAAATGGGAGAAGGCTATTTTGAACCCAGTTGTAGTTTCAGGTTGAAATATTGAGCCAACACAATATTGAAGGAGAAGAACAAAGTTGAAAAACTGACACTACCCCACTCCAAAATTTACTAAAAAGCTACCATAATCAAATGTAGTATTAGCTAGAGATTAGACAAATATATCATGAAACACAATAGAGGGCCCAGAAATAGACCCACATGAGTATTGCCAATTGATCTTTGACAAAGAAGCAAAGACAATACAATGGAGAAAAATAATCTTCTCAACAAATGGTGCTGGAACAACTGGATATGCACATCTGAAAACTTGGATCTAGATACAGACTTCTAGCCTTCAGAAAAATTAACTCAAAATAGGTCATAGACCTGACTGTAAAACACAAAAGTATAAAACTAGAATGTAACATAGAAGAAAATCTAGATGACACTGCATTTGGTGATGACTTTTTAGTTACAACACCATGAAAGAAATAATTGCTAAGGTGGACTTCACTAAAATTTCAAACTTCTACTCTATAGAAGACACTTCTATTCTGCAAAAGAATGAGAAGACAATCTAAAGGTTGGAAGAAAATACTTGCAAAAGACATATTTGATAAAGAACTGTTATCTAAAATATAAAATTAATTCTTAAAACTTAATAAGAAAATGAACAACCCAAGTTTTAAAATGGGCAAAAAAACTGAAAAATATTACCAAGGAAGATATACAGATGACAAATAAGCAGTGAAAAGATACTCAACATTATATGTCATTAAGGAATTGCAAATTTAAACAATGAGATCCTACTACACACCTATTAGAATGGCCAAAATCCAAAACACTGACAACACCAAACATTGGCAAGGTTGAGGAACAATAGGAACTCATTCATTGGTAGTGGGAATGCAAAATGATACAGCCACTTTGGAAGACAGTTTGGTAATTTTGAAAACATATTCTCACAAAAACCTGCACACAGATGTGTATAGTCACTTTTATTCATAATTGCCAAAACCTGGAAGCAACTAAGGTGTTCTTCAGTAGGTGAACTGGATAAATAAACTGCAGTTAATTTATTTGCTAGTATTTTGCTAAGGATTTTTGCATCTGTATTCATCAAGGATATTGGCCTGTAGCTTTCCTTTCTTATGATGTCTTTTTCTAACTTTGGTATGGGGGTAGTACTGGCTTTGTGAAATGAATTTGGTAGTATTTTCTCTTCTTTGTTTTTTTTGTTGTTGTTTTAAAAGATTTTATTTATTTGACAGAGAGAGACACAGCAAGAGAGGGAACACAAGCGGGGGGAGTTGGAGAGGGAGAAGCAGGCTCTCCACAGAGCAGGGAGCCAATGTGGGGCTCGATCCCAGGACCCTGGGATCATGACCTGAGCCGAAGGCAGACGCTTAACGACTGAGCCACCCAGGCGCCCCCCTTCTTCGGTTTTTTGGAAAACTTTGAGAAGGATCAATGTTAATACTTCTTTAAGTATTTGGGGCACCTGTGTGTCACAGTCAGTTGGGCATCTGACTCTTGGTTTCAGCTCGGGTCATGGTCTCGGGGTCATGAGATTGAGCCCCACATTGGGTTCTGTCCTCAGTGCAGAGTCTGCTTGAGACTCTCTCCCCTCTCCCTCTGCCCCTCCTCCCAGCTCTCTCTCTGAAATAAACAAAAATAAATCTTTAAAAAAAACCTTCTTTAAATATTTAGTAAAATTCACCAGTGAAGTCATCTAGGCCTAAACTTTGCTGGAAGATATTTTTGATTATCTACTCAATATCCATACTAGTTATGAGTCTGTGTAGGCTTCCTATTTCTTCATGATTCAGTTTGGGTAGGAATTCAGTTTCCAGGAATTTATTCATTTCTTTTTGGTTATCTAGTTTGTTGGTGTATAATTGTTCACAGTAGTTGTCTTTTTTTTAAAAAAGATTTTATTTATTTGTTTGACAGAGAGAGAGACAGCTAGAGAGGGAACACAAGCAGGGGCAGAGGAAGAGAGAGAAGCAGGCTTCCCACTGAGCAGGGAGCCCAATGTGGGGCTTGATCCCAGGACCCTGGGATCATGACCTGAGCCGAAGGCAGATGCTTAACGACTGAGCCACCCAGGTGCCCCCACAGTAGTGTCTTATGATAAGTTTTTATTTCTGTATCATCAGTCGTAATGTCTCTTCTTTCATTTCTCATTTTATTTATTTGAATCTTTTTTCTCTTTTTCTTAGTATAGCTTAGAGTTTGTCAACTTTGTTTATTTTTCAAAAAACAACAACCCTTAGTTTTGTGGATATTTCTCTACTTCCAATTTTATTTATTTCTGCTCTAATCTTTGTTCTCTCCTTCCTTCTGCCCACTTTGGGTGTGGTTTGTTCTTCTTTCTCTAGCTCTTTAAGGTATAAAGTTAGTCAAGAGGAAGCCACTAGAACTGCCCTAACTACCAAAATGGTAACCCCAAAGTCATGTTGCATTACTGGAGGAGTAAAGGTGCAGAGTGTCATCACCAAATACTTGAAAGATTCCCTTGAAGGATGGTGATTTCCACAACATTCCCATTGAATTGATTTATTTAGCCTGTGCAGAAAGCAGATGGACCTCAGGAAATGGTAGCACATTACTCTAATCAGGCAGTGACTCCAATTGCGGCTGGATTCCAGGTATGTTTTGTTACTGGAGCAAATCAATACATCCGCTGGCTCCTGGTATACAGGGATTTAGCTTGTTACTGCACTTTTTTTTAAAAACCTGTAACTATTAGTAAATATTATCAGGGACTCTTTGCTTTTGGATGGCAGGGCCAACAGCACGGCTTCAAAGTCCTACCTCAGAGCCATGCCAGGTTGCTGGTGCGATGCCATTATCTAGTCCTCAGGGACCCCAGTCACTTCATAGCACATCTCATCACATGGTTTCATTACGTTGGTATCAGCAACCAGTTAGTGAGCAGGAAGTAATAACTACCTCAGGAAAACTGTTAATATATATGCATGTCAAAGAGTGTGAAATAAATCCCTAAAAACACAGGGGCCTGCCACCTCTGAAGTTTCTAGAGGTCCACTGGTCTAGGACACGTTGACATATCTTTTCCAAAGGGAAGGAAAATTGCTGCATCTGGGCCTCCTAAGAAAGTGACACAATGTCTAGTGGGTCTCTTTGGGTTTTAGAAATAAAATAT